ATGATGAGGTCCTTGACGCGGCCGGTGATGCTGATGTAGCCGTCTGGGGACATGGAGGCTTCGTCGCCGGTCTGGATTGGGTTAGTGAGGGTTGCTCTGACGATTCTGGTAGTGTGGCACTTACATGCATCCATACTTTCCCATTTTCGTCGGCAACCATGACCTCGGCCGTTTTGACCGGGTCGTTCCAGTACTCCTTCATCAGAAGATACCCACTCACTGCTAGCTCTCCGCGAACATTGATGGGTACGATTTGCCTGCGATCTTCCAGGCTCACGACTTTTGCTTCGACGTGCGGGAGTAGTTTGCCGACGGAACTGATCCGCTTGTCGATGGGGTCGTCCGTCGTGGTCATCGCAGAGACAGGGCTGGTCTCGGTCATTCCATAGCAGATCGTGAGCTCCGTGAGATTCAGCACCTTGTGTAACCTTTTCATCAGCTCCGCGGGGACGCTACTTCCGGCTGCGATGCCGGTTCTTAGGTACTGGAACCCCTCGTTCGGGATTTCGCCATCGTCGAGGAGGCTGAGCTCTTCGAGGAACATGGTCGGGACGCCATATAGTGCAGTGCATTTTTCTTCTTGGACAGCTTGGAGGGATGCTCGGGCGTTGAATGATTCTGCGGGGAACACGATGGCTGCGCCGTGGGTGGCGGTGGCCATGTATCCCAGTACGGATCCAAAGCAGTGGAAGAGTGGGGGAGGACAGCACACGATGTCCTCTGGGGTAAGGCGCATTCTGTCGCCAATTTGGGAGCCATTGTTTAGAATAGATCGGTGGCTTAAGCATGCTGCTTTGGGCATTGCTGTTGTTCCGGATGTGAATTGAATGTTGACAATGTCGGTGGGAGAGAGATGGCGAGGTGGCAGAGAGATTCTGTCAGACGGGGCGTCGGAGACGAGCGATGTGTAGGCTGTAAGGCCCCTGAAGTCGGAGATGTTGACGCGGCCAGATGAGTTCTCGACGAGGACGATGCCTTTTAGCGTGGGAACCACTTCTGACTCGATGCTCGGCTTAGAGAGGTCTTTGACAAGATGTTTGAGGAGTGGGATGTTACTCCTTGGATCTTTCCGCGGCAGATTGGATTCGGCACTGAGGATGAGATGGCTGGCCTCAAGATGGGCCAGCGCGGAAACCACCTGCGTTGCGTTGAATGACGGGTTGATAGGTACCTAGGCTGGATCAGAACATAGCCCTGGTGAGATTCAAGCTCTGCCTACCAGGATTGCGCCAAGCTTGAACAGCGCATAGGTTGCCTGTCGGGGGTAGGTTGTAAGTATGATAGCTAATGCAGGGGGCTCGATGGCAGCATACAATGGCGTGTTCCATGGAGTTTCCTAGCATGACACCCACACGGTCACCCGTCCGTACGCCGATGGACTCCAGACCACGCGCAAGAGAATTGCTTTTGGCATCGAGGGCAGCGTAGGTCACTCGATCATTCTGATGTTTGCAGATAACACTGGCCATAGTCAGTAGGCTATCCTGAAGGGCCCCAGACAAACATACGCGGGTCTATCGCCATGCAAGTTGACAATCTTTGCAAAGTGCTCCCCGACAGTAGTCTCCAGCAACGGAGGCTTGAATCACGTCAGCAGATTAGCATGGTGCCTGGTCAATCGGCAATGACATGGTTTGTGCCTACCTCCAGAGGACCCCGAGAATAGCTTTCTGTCAGCAGGCCCCGTTTCCCAGACCATGACACTGACAGGAAGGGCCTCCTCGCAAGGCATGAGCCGTTCCTCAGGAACGGTCCCCGAAGGGGCCCCCTACAACTGACCGACGAAATGCGCATCTGGACCGTTGCCAAAGTATCTTCATAGCACGTTGCAAGTGCGAGATAACCTTGTCGGAGGGTCTGATTTCGTCACTAATAAGTACCTGCCCCTTGCTTCTGGCTCCCCACGGACTGGGCCCGGATTGGTTTAGCCAGGGATTGCACGCGGGTGGCTTACTGATGGCGCCACGCGAGCGTGGTCAGAAGGGAGGGCGAAGTGGGAGTTGGTCTGTCAATTGCAGAAAGAAGATTGGGTGGATTGAGAAGGCGATGTAGATGATGGGCCAGATGGCAGATGGCAGATGGCAGATGGCAGATGGCCGTAAGAAACCCCTCACGTGTCGCCGTGCGGGGTTCATGCAGCGGGATTGCCTGTTCGGGAACTAGTTCCTGCAGCTCAATTTCGACCGATCTTCAAGATTTCAGGGAGGGTACAGCAATGTCTTCGATTGAGGTACAAGGCAGAGATCCGGCAGGGGGAAGGAAGCTCCGGAGACTGGCTTAGGGTTGGCATTGATGCCAACTGCAGGGGGCCGAGGATAACCGAGATCATATTCATCACTAACTTGGTTGCTTTTTACTTTTTTTCTTCTTCTTGTTCTTCTCCTTCTCCTCCTCTTCTATCATCCTTTGAGCTGCCTCCTTTTCTCTTCTTTTCCTCTCCTTCTCCTTCTTCACCTCCTCGACACAATTCTCCGCTCCGCACCTACACGTCCGCGTCGTCCAGTATCCATTCCCATAGTTAACCGTGATTTCCTCAAAAATAGCAATGTCCTTCCTGGCCTCGACCGTCATGATCACTCGGTCTCCAACCGTCCTCGCATCAAATACCGTGTGGGCGTCACACGAATGATTGAGATACCGAGTCCAGTTGCCATATTCCTTGGGAGAAATCAGAGCAATCGAACCGTCTATTCTCTGCCAAGTTTTGGGCTGTACTTCAAGCGCATAAACATTGTCGTCCCGATAATTCGGGGGCATGATTTTCCCGACGAATTCGCCCAGAATATCGCCTGCCTTGAAGTTGGCAAGAGCGCGCACCCCGACTCCTTTGGTGCCGGCCTCGACCAGCTGGACATAGTCCGACGGACTCCTCTTCAGTCGGCAGCTGCAAACCCCTGGTGAAGCGCACAAATCGCATGATCCATACCAAGTGAACTTGGCATCGTTCTCCCGCAATGTCGGATCCCTCGGATCTCCTTTCTGTTCTGCGACCCAATCACTGGGGTCGAAGGTACTGGCGTCCACATCTCTCTGGATACGATTCTTGTAGACCGGATTCCGAAAAGTCTTTTTCACGGGATCAATGACGATATCATGGGGACGGGTACTGGCGAGTTCGGCGAGCTTTTTCTTACTCCCCAGGGCTTCTTTTTTTAGTCCGGGCAGACTGCCCTCCTTCCAGTACGGAAGCAACAAGCTGCGCCAATCCAAAGCGTGCAGGCAAGCCTGGAGCTCAATATTGTACGCGAAGTCCCGAATCTTCGTGTAGACGCACCCCCACAACCATCGATCCTCCTCTTCTCGACACAGTCTTCGAAAGGACTCCGCATACGCACAGATCGCAAGCATTCTCCAGCCGAGTTTCTTAGCAACCATTTCCAGGCGGTGCGCTTCTCGCTCTCTGTAATCCGGATTGAACTTATCCTCACACCCCGAGATACGAGTGGCAGCCCTCTCCACGACCAAGGCTGCATAAGTCTTCTGCGACTGATAGGACAATTTCGTGATTTTATCCGGGGCCCCCTCTCTGCAGGCTTTTTGAGTCGCTGCCACATGATTCAGGTCGAAGATAATCGCACTCAGGATTTCATCTCTCTGTCGGTGATATTCTTCGTAGGTGAGTTGGAGACCCGGCGTGTTGGTTTCGGCACATATTTCAGAAGACGCAGCTCGGTTTTGAGTCTTGGGGCGTTTTCTGGTAGGAGACGTCTCGAGTTCGCTTCGATTCCGCTTTCGAGTCTTTTTGGACTGGGATTGATCTGGCGTTTTAGGCGGGGGGGCTAAGGGTTCAGGAGTGGTGGATTTTGAACCGGTCATGGTGATGATGATGATACTTTGACCGCTGTCTTAATTTGTCTGTCTTGTTTTGCAATGAATACAGGCTTCATCTAGGTTACATCTGGGGATTAAGTACTCGGTGTCTTCCATGTTGGAAACTTAGTAGAATGGTGTTGCTTTGATTAGTTGTTAGAGGGGGCTATAGCTTAGATGTATCAAAGGATGATGAACAACCGCCTATTGAAACCTGCTTTATTCGTTGCATATTTTTGGATCAGACATGTAGCTATGTCTTTGTTGGACTGACAGTTTGATGTGCCGCACTTGTAGGACTGGATAAGCAGATAAGGACCGGACAAAGCTATGGAGTTATAAAGCATAGAATAACTATGAAATGGATAAAGAAATGATCAGATAGATGCGTTTGTGGAGCAACGCAGATGAAACAAAGCTTTGTTTCTTTCATTATGAAGTTTCAGACCATTATATCTTTCATTCACACATGTATCTTTGTTGGTGTGTTAATGGCTATGGTATTTGTAGAGATTCGTAAGACTCCCAATATAGTCATCCTCATCCAGATCTTTATCATTCCTCATTATAGAACAACCCGGCAAAAATCATCAAAGCCAATTTGTTTTACATTCAAATATAATACATTGCTTCCATGGTTATTTTAGTCGCCACAAATTGGAAGAAGGGTCAACTAGTACAATATCGTCCACTCCATTCGCAAGAGTATGCGGGACTTGATAATCTACCAGATCGAGAATCTAGGTCTACGCTTAAGTCGGCTTTTTATCAGCTCTTCTAATGCTATTCTTTATTTGTATGATGCCAAAAGAGCTCATTGTTCATGTTTAATGTGCTGTGTTTTGGACGATGTTCAAGTCTGGATGGCTTCGACTTGGGCTAGAGTAGAGTGCACTGGAACAGAAGTTTCTCTCTTTCAAAGCATGCTCAAAAGGATATATGTACGATAAAATTGTTGGTTTGTGGAGCATACTATAAAACTAACTTTCCTTTCAATCTCCAGGACAAGGTATAATCTATAATAACTTATAACCTATATGAAACTCCCCGGCAGCTCAGTAACAGAGCGCTCCACCTTATCCTTGCAATCGCTATTCTTAGACTTCCTGTCTACACAGGGTCCTTCTTTTCTGTTTTCCCGGGATGCTGTGCTCGAGAAATTCCAAGTTGGGTTGTACTCAGTACTCAAGGCCCCTGTAGCTCAGTGGTAGAGCGCTCCACTTATTCTTATTCTTAGGAGAAGGCCGCGGTTCGAGTCCGCGCAGGGGAAGTCTTCTTTTTCTCCCCTTTCGAGGGGAAACTACGTAAGAAGTGCGAGATGTTGACGATATCTACTACAAGGCATCCCAAGGCACCTATTCAGGCATCAAGGAGATATATCACGTGATATGTGGTCACATGACCATGTTGGCCTGGCGTGTACTGAGTACCGGCACGGGCCAATTCATGGTTCCCCGGATATCAGTGTCGATATCACGATTGGTGATATCGGCGTGGATGAACGCCTGTTCGTTGTAGAGAGCTTGGCTAGACCGGCCTAACCCGAAAGAGATCAAAGAGCTAGTCTCAATTAAGACTGCAGAATGGACAAGACGTGAGCGGTGTGAGCATCGCCTGATCAGCTATGCAGCTAGTGAGCTATGATGCAATTCCCGCTGCTTCTCCGTGTCTACTCCGTACATTCTAGGATCCTACAGGGTCATAAGAATTAAAAATAAATGAATGGTGGCAGTGCGCCCATCATGCACACTCGGAAGATGGATGATCCGGCCGCGGGGCGTGGAAGTCGGGGTCCCAATCGGGCTTAGCGGCCGAGCGTCGGGGTCTCGAAAAAGGCCTAGCGGCAGGCTGGGGGAGATGAGCCTCGCCCAGCCGGTTGTATGTAAGACTGTACCACCGCTGGTCCCTCATCCTTCGCACTCCGTCTCCCTTTCTGCCTGATTCATTCCTTCTTCAAGGACCTTTCTGAGAGTTCCCTTCCTTTGTTGTGTGCCTCGCCGCATCTCCAGGGACTGCCAAGTAACGGGCTTGACGTGAGTCACCGTCGGAAAGGTTATTCATTATCTACCGTCTTTCCTTATCAGGCATCGTCCTTCAGTCACCCTGAATCCCCAGGCTGCCCATCTCCCCCAAGGCCTCGACACTCGTTCGATCATGGCGGCCGACCAGTTGCTCCAGTCCATCGGTCACTCCACTCCCAGCGAAGAGTGGTTTGACTTTGACAACTTCGACATCCCCTATGGAGGACTGGGAAGCAACCCCACTTCGGTTGATTCAATCTCTCCCAAAGATCTGGATCTGACCTTTGCGGAGTTTGATGATTGCAACTGGGGACCAACCCCTGGGGTCTGCGGCCAGGATTTATTCGCGGATATCGTCAACTACGACGCGCCTTGTGAAGGATACGTGGGACATGCATTGGATGCCTCGCAACCTATGCTAGATCCTACCGGGGCCTTCCACCCGCAGCCCCCATCACCTAATCAAGGGCTGGTCGGGTCGGGACTCTACGACCCATGGCTACAGGACATGAGCGGTGCTGACGACCAATTCTATACCAGCATCCGACAAATGGTGGAGGTACAGGCCGCTGCCGATCCAGCCGCCTTGTCCATCAAAGAGAAGCGCATGGAAGCGTCGATTGCTATCCATTTGCAGCGTCTACAAGAAGCAGCGCTGCAGGACCTGGAGCTGTCGTCAAACTCGAGCACGACATTCCCGTCGCCTCGCTGGTCCGAATCTGCGGGAAGCGTTTCGCAGAGTGGTACTTGTGCAACTCCAGTGACCTCTCCCCCATCCGAGACAGCCCGGACACCTGCCTCAAACCCTGAACCCGCAGTTGGAGGGATGGAACTGGTGCTCGACTTGAACATGAACACGACCACCAACCTTCCAAGAAAACAGAAGCCTCGGTCGCAAGCCCAGAAAGAGAACTACATCAAGGCTCGGAAATACGGTGCTTGCGAGAAGCACAGGAAACAACATAAGCGAGTGAGTGAAGCCGTCATGGCAGACTGGGATTCCATATGCTGATCTAGGTATAGTGCAACTGCCTTGAGAAGGCCGCTTCTCGTGCCGTTCTCAGCCAACAGGCTGTTTCTACTGCCGATATGGCAGTCATGTCGACCGCCAATGCACAACTGCATGTCCATCACCCTGGCAAGGAACAACTTCTCTTGAGGACGACACCGGCATCCGTCAAGAAGTCACCTGTCTCGCAACCGGCAGGAGGCTTGGGGCCAAGGGATGATCAATCCGTCCAGCTTCGGCATCCCAACCGTGTCTCAAGCACCAATTCCTCGATGGATCCTCGATATGGACACCACTCGCCACGCTCGGTCGAGCCAGTTGCAAGCCGTCACGGCGCTGTTGGCTGTCCGAATACGGGCCAGCCAGCACCTCCGAGGTCACCGGTGTCCTGTCGCGGCACTGACTTGGTCCATTCCATGTCGAGGAGACTGCAAACCTCTTCGACATCAAGCCAAACGGGCCAGATGTCGCATGCTGCAATCCATGGCCCTCGCCAAGTCCAAGCATCAGGCCGTCTATCGACGGTCCAGGGTGTTTCGACCCACTGGCGCGCGTCAGTGGAGACATCAGTCATATACAGGCCCAAGGCAGCAGTCGATTCGACTGCCAGCTCTCCGTCCAGAGCATCCGCCCAGGCCCCTGTTGTCAGATCCATACCCAACGCCGACCATGGAGAACGGAGAACCCGGACAATATACGAGACATGCAAGCATGTCTGGTCTACCGAATTGGGCGACCAAGCAACGTCCTCCCGACACGTGTCGACCAACCGTTCTTTGGATGTACAAGCCAACGATGTCCACGACCGGTCTGTGTCGAGGACTGTTGTCTCGCGGGTACTTCAAAGCGTGTTTCCGGTTTCTGGCTTCCTGGAATTATCGATCTTCTTCGCTTCTCGGTTGAGTTCATGGTTTGGCAGATGTGGAATTTTCTCCAGATTTGGCAAATCCGTCATGGTCTCTTCCAAAAAGCATTGGCTTACGGGGAAAGGACTGAGGTGGTGTTGATGATACCTACATTGGCGTGTTGATTGAGATTTTTATTTGATTGTCGAGTTATTTAGCGGTGCTTGCTTTTCCTTGATACCAAGTCTTGCTAGACCAGAAATATTGATTCTGACTATGCTGGTACTCAGTGCCTACAACTCTTTTGAAAGTAGCCACGACCAGTAGATGTAGACAACCGTAGTAGTTGATCACCGTTCCTAATGTATGTCCCCACAGCTATACAACCGCCCCAACCAATCACCAGCCCTCCAGTTCCGACCTCCGCGGGCCTCAGACCCATCCATCCCGATCCATCTCTCAATTCCAATTTCCAACATCCAGAAGAACTCCTTCTTCCATCTCCCCCATAGAATTTCCCATGGCCTCCTCCACCTCCTCCGAATCGCATTGGCGATTCTCCACCGTGCCAGGCTTCTTCTACCAAAGCGAGCCATCCACCGACGCCAGCACCTTTGACTACGTCCGTCCCCTTCCAATCAAACTTACCCCTAAACTAACCTTACTTACTCCCAGGCATCCTCCAACTTCGGCCTCATCCCCCGCCCTTACCCCACAGACACCAACATCCCAGATCCCGAAACAAAAACCCCCTGGGAGCGCTTCGCCCACCACATCCGCACCCTCAACCACACCGCCGACCAAAACACATGCTACAAGGTCCTTTTCCTCGGCCGCCACGGCGAGGGATACCATAATGTCGCGGAACGGGAATACGGCACGCTGGAATGGGATGTACGTCCCCTCCCCCACCGGCACCTCTTTTTCCCATACCAACCCAGAATCTACACCCACCCAACCAATCATATACTAACATGTAAGGGGAAATTAAATAGAGACACTACTCCCTCCTCCCCGGCACCTCCACGGAAAGCTGGATCGACGCCCGACTGACAGAAACGGGGAAATCGCAAGCCCGCACCGCCCACTCCACCTGGTCCCAGCAAATCAAAACCGGCATTCCCACCCCGGAATCCTTCTACGTGAGTCCGTTGAATCGGTGTCTGGAGACAGCACATATTACGTTCTCTGGGTTGGGAGTCAAGGGCACGGAGCCGTTTAGGCCGCTTGTTAAGGAGGTATTTCTTCCCCCTTTCCTTTTCCCTTTTCCCTTTTCCTTCTTTTTTTTCTCTCCATGCACATATGAATTATATTCAAAGGTAAGTTGTTAACCAAATGGGATGTAATTGACAGCTCCTCCGCGAAACCATCGGCCAACACACCTGCGACAGCCGATCCAGCAAATCGGCCATCGAAGCCGAATACCCACTCTACATAATCGAGCCCGGGTTCACCGAGACCGACGAACTCTATGACGCCGTACTCCGGGAATCGAATTCCGCGCGCGACAAACGGTTCCGGGATTTACTGCAGGATATCTTTACGAATGATGAGATGGTGGTTTTGTCGCTGACGGCGCATTCGGGCGCCATTACGAGCTTGTTGAATGTCTTGGGCCATCGGAGGTTTGATTTGGAGACCGGGGGCGTTATTCCTGTTCTTGTTAGGGGGGAGAGGGTTGAGGGTCCGTTGCCGCAGATGGTGGTTGAGCCGTGGTTTCCGGTGCCGAAATAGATTAATTAGTTTTGGTTCAATGGGAGGGGGGAGGGAGGTAGGGAGGTGGGTGGATGGGGGATGGGGGGATGGAAAGAAGAGTATATATTTGTATTGTACACATTGAATTCTTGGTTAACGACCCCCTCCTGGGTAAGAGGTGGTGGTGTCAAACGGAATAGTTGTAAAACATGCTGGAATCACAGATCGAGGCTTCTTAGGTCTAGATATTAACACACAAAACAACGCCAAAGAAAATAATCAAACATGTCAGTCACCCGGTGTCATACACTTCGATATCACCAGCTGTAGTACTGCTGCTGCGCCGTGATCTTGCGGTCCGGCAGCTGCGTCCAGAGTTGGGCCTTGCGCTTGCGCAGCTCCTCGGCCTCCCGGTTCTGCCATTCCCGGATACGCGTCTTCTCCTCCTTCAGCACAACCGACAGCGAGGTGTACGGCGGACGCATGATGTTGATATTGCCGCGCGCACGATGGTCGTAGTCGTATCCGTACGGTCCACGGTTCACCCATGCCTGTGCAATGTAGATGGAGGTCGGGTCGGAGATGGTCTTGCGCTCTCCAGTCTTAAGAGTGATAGTGACGGGCTTTTGGACCACCTTGCCCTCAACAGCACCCAGCCCCATACCAGAGCGAACAACAGCAACGTTCTTGGCATGCTCGA